GTTCACATAATACATCTCCAAAATGCTACAGACACTTCACCTTAAGTTTCATCCTAACTCATTCTCAGTTATGCAGTGAGAATGATCTTTGGAAAATGCAAATCTTTAGAATCATCCACTGTTTGGAGGAATCAGTTCTTTGAAAAAAAATTCACTCTGGTATTGCTTGTTCCAACTTTTTATTGAATAGTAACACAAAAGTGTTTGCTTTGTATTAACTCACTGGGCCATAATTTCTACACTTTGCTATTTATGTGTTCCACTTCAACTTAAAAGTTAAAACTATAAAAAAATAAAATAATGTAAATCCTATCATTGCTTTTCCTTATTATTAAGATAAATTCAAAATTCTTATCAGCCCCTTCCCACTTCTTCAGGTTCATTCTTATATCACTTTCTACCTCAAGTTTGCTGAATCTAAATGTATTGATCTCTCAGTTTTTTGAATTTACCACATTCTTTATTTCTATTGGTCTTTGCATGCACTAGCTCCTCTGCCTGGAACCCTTCTTCCTTAGCTTTTCCCATTTTCGATCTCAATATAAATGTTATTTTCTCAGGGACATCATTCTTAATACTCCGTATAGAGTTAATTCTATTGTTACATGCTCTCATAGATTCTGTATTCCATTCACCAGCCCCAAAGTCTTTTAGTTACTTGTTTAATACTGCTTTCTCTGCTAGAGTATAAACTTCATAAGAGCAAGAATCATGATCACAGTATCTGACGTATGGCTTTTAATTCTCCAGTTTCTGTAGTAACAACATCACTACACACATAATAAAGTACATACAAGCAATGGACAGATAAGAAAATAAAATTAGAGATACTATGTGGGAAAACAGAGGTACTCTCTCTAACCTTAAAAGGCAAAGACTAAATGCTAAATAACTAACTTTCATTTCTGCTTTGTTGACATTCAGAAGAATATAGGGATTATCTACCAAATGAATAAAATTTTACATTCTAGAATTTACGATTGATGTGCAAGCTTCATAACCTCAGTCTTCAAGCCTCCTCCCTTATACTTCTCAACATTCCATTTTTTTGTAGCAAAAAGTCCCCTGCTTAAAACCTTCCAGTGACTTCCTACTACAACCAAAATAAAATCTAAGCTCTTGACCAGCTTCTCTATGATCCATTTCCTACTTTCCTCTGACCTCATCCCCTCCAGGCTTCCCCTCATTCATTATGCTTTTGGCTTCAGCCACATTGGTCTTTCTGTTCCTGTAAGAGTTAAAGGCTTTGCTATCACTTCTCTCAGATCTTCAAATGTGGCCACTTTCTTATCATTTATATCCTAACTCAAATATCACTTCCTCAGAAGGGTCTTTCTTGACTTCCCCACCTAAAGCACTCATTTCTATCCAATAGCAGTCACTACTGTTTGCAGTTTTTCTTCTCCAGAAATTTAGCAGAATCTGAAATAACATAATTTGTTTATAAGATTAATGTCTATGTGTCCATATAAAGGCAAAGACTTGTCTACTGTTTATTGAAAATATTCTCAGTGATGAGAATAGTAGCACATAGTAGGTGCTCCATAAATATGGTTTTTTTTTTGTTTGTTTTTTGTTTTGTTTTGTTTTGTTTTTTTTGGCGGGGGGGGCGCGGAGTTTCGCTCTGTCGCTCAGGCTGGAGTGCAGTGGCGCGATCTCGGCTCACTGCAATCTATACGCCTCCTGGGTTCACGCCATTCTCCTGCCTCAGCCTCCCGAGTAGCTGGGACTACAGGCGCCCGCCGCCACTCCCGGCTAATTTTTTGTATTTTTAGTAGAGACGGGGTTTCACCGTGTTAGCCAGGGTGGTCTCGATCTCCTGACCTCGTGATCCGCCCGTCTCGGCCTCCCAAAGTGCTGGGATTACAGGCGTGAGCCACCGCGCCCGGCCTCATAAATATGCTAACTAAGTTATTCTGGATATGCAGCTGCAGGCTAGTCAAGTCTTGAAGTCTAAAGGCTTTTTGGAAGACTTCTAAGAAGATTCCAAAATGTCAAAGCAAATGTGTGGTTTTCTAAATGTATCTAGTGACCTCTGCTGGAATACTTACCAAGGGAACCAAATACAAGTCTTCATTTGTTCCTACTTGCCCTCTCACCTCTTTTCATTGGGTGATAAAATGTTAGCATAAGTATAAAATTTGGTATCAGGGACTTTTGAGAGTGCTTCTCCCAACTTGGAGAAAACCCATCTCCCTTTCTGTCTGGATGATTGTTCTCTTTCTGCTCCCATCTCATCAATTTGTGCTTTTAGCACAAACATTATACGAGAATGTTCAGGGACATGGTAGGAAGAGAACTTTCCCTGATTCCTCTTCAAATCTTATTGCACAAATGACTGCCTTTCTCTGCACAAATATCTGAAAGAAGGGAATTCATCCAGATACTATGGATAGATGAAGATATATCCATCTCAAGGATATACTTCATAGGGTTCCATTTATTTTACCTCACTTAACCTAACGAACAACTTTGAAAATGGTATTTACCATTAACAAGCAAAGAATTGGCAAAGGATGTTCTCATGTTGAGAATAACAGGATCAAGAGAATAAGTCTACTGTGAGGGATTGTTAGGAGATGACGTGTGGCTGAGAGTGCTGGTACTTGACACAAAAACGCCAAATGGGAACTAAAGGCTAGAAATTTAAAAAAAAATCAGAATAACGAGTGTAAATGTGTGAAACAATCATGCGTGTTTAATTCATTTATATGATTAAACTTCTGAAAACTGTGTTACTCATCCTATATATGGTGTGTATATATGCATACGTTTATTGTAGAAAATATGTAGAACATAAACAAACAAAAGTACCACATAAACATCAATCATAATTACTACCAGTTAAAGACAACTATTGTAAGAGTTTTTACATGTAGCCTCCCGTCTTTTGTTTATGTCTATTCCAGCCTTCTATTGCATATACTTCATGAACAGAGGTATATAGTACATTTTCACAAAATTGCATCAGTCATACTACTTATTTTATTTTACATCCTACTTATTTTCATTTAGGATGTTATAAAATATATCCATTGATCTTAAGGTCATTTTTCTGAAAAAAAAAAATGTTTTCTCTAATTAAGCATTTGATCAGGTAATATATACAGGTGGTACAACGTTAAAAAAAAATGAAAGAAAAGTAAAGTCTTCTTTTTACCCCTTTCCTCTTCAATGGTTTACCTCTGCCATTAGGGAAAGCTTTTACTAGGCCATCATATGTGTTATAAAAAAGGCTGAGATCACTAAAGTGGTTGTCATGGTACCAGGCACTATGTTAAGTGACTTATATAGATTATCTCATCCCCGTTTTATCAAGAAAACAAAAACTTAGGTAAGAAATTGGCTCAAGTTTACACAGCAGATAAGCGATGCCACAGGCGACTAACTCGCAACTAAGCAGTTGATACCTGGAACAGATTGTAAATAAATAAACCAGCCTTAACGTGTAAGCTGCAGAATATGGATCAGTGTGCTCGTGTGGCCTGTGTGACACTGGATGAACCAATCTCAAAGGTGCTGGGACAGAAAATTGCAAACGTGAAACTCTGTCATCACACTGTCATCCCATTCTCACTCCTGTCAACATGTCCTTAGGTTTGGTTTTACCGGAATGTGTACTTGCGGGACTCTCAGAGGTTACGTTAACATAAGGAAACCATTTTATAAAGGAGACAATCATTTTGATCATTTGGGCTCATATGTTTTCTATTTTAGTGCTTGTTTTTTTTATTAGTCATATAATCTTTTTCTCACAATGCAAACAAATGGATAATAAACTATGTACTTAAATGTACTTTTCTGGACAAAGATAAGAATCAAATGTGTCACAAAATCATAGAAGACATTTATGTATTTTTGTTTTAATGAATTTATTTTTTTAAGAGATGTGGTCTCACTAGGTTGTTCAGGTTGGCCTTAAACTCCTGGGCCCAAGTGATTCTTCCCCCTCAGCCTCATGAGTAGCTGGGACAACAGGTATGTACTACCACGTCAGCCTGACATATTTAATCTATTTGACTTATATAGATTTATTAATATAATATAATGAAATGTGGTTCTGCCCATCTTGAGTCATTAAAATAGGTGTAAGTCAATAAGACCAACTAAATAGAAAATAATTTAAAACCTAATAAGAGGTACTAAAATAGTATTATCAACTAACAAATTACTGACAATTCTGACTGTAATTCTAACGTGAAGGATATTTTGTATGAGCTTCAGTTCTGCTTCTCTAGAGAATAATAATGTAAAATACTGATTTTAGCTAAATCTGTAAAGATGGCTCAAAATTAAGCTTGCTTGTGAATGCACCAACTCTCTATAGGTACAATATAGGATATGTCTGTATGGGTGTGGAAATAAATTGGAACATATAGATTTACGCACATAGGGAAAAGCAAACATATGCCATTTATCTGCAATCCGATCCTGGTGATAGTTTAGAATCTAATTTCTTTTGCAATGTTCTTCCCATGTTTGAACATTTACATCGACTGAATTATTCTTTATCAATTTGATAATATTTGAAGAAAATGTACAAACATGACAAAGATTAATTTTTACTACCTCATCAAAATTATTGACTGATGATTATTGACCAGTCAAAATTACATTTTTTTTCATGTTACACCCGAAGACATACTGAAATTTATGCTTTTTCATAGGGAAAGTTTTAAGAAGAGTAATTAAGAAAAGGTGGATCAAGATCTCTGACTATCACCAAAATTCAATTTGTAAGTGTAGAATTAAATAACTAGGATTATTTTTTTAAAAGCTCTAGAAATAGGAATCAAAAGAAAGAAGAATATTTAGGAAATCCAAAAGGATTTAAAGCATAAAAATATGTCCCAATCAGTCTACATGTAATCTAAGGAGGCCTGCACACTTATGAAGGGAGTTGCCAATATTGGATCACTTTGGAAATGGTGAAATAAGCATTGGTAACTGTATAAATCTAAGACTCTGGTCAAAAGGACAAGGGCTAAAAGACTGAACTTGGGTCATGCTCTGCCTATCCCAGGAGGTGCTAACCTATGTCCTGAATCAGAGGATTTTTCTGTTGACAGCTCTGGATTGTTTGGGTAGATACTGGTAGGGCAGAAACTTCCTAACAATACCTGCCCAGAAAGACGGGAAAGAGGAGGAAAAATTCCTCTTTCCACCAGGAATTCTCTGGGAAGCACATAGGATTTCACGCTACTAGTTTATTCCCAAGAGAAGCTACCAAAGCTTGGTAACTACCAACTCTTAACTTTTGTGTCTCTAAGTACACTTCTCCTGGGATTACAACAAATTGAACCAGGGATTTAACGGAATCTCAGAGGACCGTAAGAAGAATGCTTCGAGGCCGATCCCTGTCTGTAACATCCCTGAGTGGGCTGCCCCGGTGGGAAGTCAAAGAACTTCCTGTGGAGGAGTTACTGCTCTTTGAAGTTGCTTGGGAGGTGACCAATAAAGGTTTGTACTGCTCCTGAAGGTGGATATTTGCTAAGTGATTGAAGACTGTAGAGTAAGATTTCACAGATGACTCTCTAGTGATAACCAATTGCCAGTGAGTGAGGAAAGCATTTAAATGGAATGTACATTTAAACTACATTTAACCTTGTCTATTACAACAGGCTATGAATACAGACTTGGCTGTGTGTTGAAGAGGGAGAAAGTTGAAAATATTAACCGTTGCCATGGAATGTGCATTTAAATTAAAATTTAAAATCCATATTATGACAAAAATAGAAATAAAAAGTTAATATTTATCTTTTTTGTTTTAAAATTTTCCTCAGCAAAATAGTATAATTAAACATTTTATTTAGGAAGATGTATATGTGATTAGAACCAGTTAGAAACTTTAACTCTACATTCTGTTAGTGATCATGTGAGATGCTTAATAATGTTTCTAATTCACAATTAGCTTGGAATTAAAATTTTAATTCAGGAGCTTCTCAAAAGGCAAAATACTGTGCTCCTTTTCAGAATGTAAGTAATTTTTTCTTCAATGCTATGCTTACGTAGGAATTATAAAATAAAGAAAATCAAACTGATAAAATTAAATCAATTTGTGAGTAAGCTATAACCTCATTTGTGCTGGGTAAGAGAAGGCAAGGTAGAGAACCACAATGTAAATGATTTTTAAAATAAAGACATCTGTAAAATTATAAAAACAATTCCTTGTGGATTTATACTCTCTAGTTTAAAAGTGTCAAGATTATTGAAGAAACATTAACAAAGAAAAAGTAATGGTTTTGAAGACTAGTTCTTTAAGATCTTGACGAATCAAGCCAAATGATTGCCGGGTAAATGGCAGTGATGACCTGTGTAATTTAAAGGATCTGAAATTATGACATGTGTTGTGATATATAACATGCTTATTTTTCATTTTGTGTTTATTATTACATGTCTATTATGGTAACCTAAAGGATTTGAAATAATAACCAGAATGTGGTTATTTCCATTACTTCCTTCTTTTGGCTAATCAGAGCCAGCATAATCTCAAAATTAAAGGCATTATATATGGCATGCATTCTGATTTTTCACCTTATACTAACTGTTCAATGTTCTTGTGTGTATGCATTCATAAAATCAAAATTAAAGTCATTTGCTGCGGGCGGGGTCGCTGTATCCAGCTTTGGGGGGGGGGGCGGATACAAGGTAGGAGATGAGACCGGTGAAGTTCTACTAAAATCAAAATTAGCTGGGGGGGGGGCGCTGTAGTAGTATGGAGGGGGGGGGGGGGGGGGGAGTGCAGTGAGCGAGATTGCCATGCATCAGTGGGAAGAGCAAACTGTCAAAAAAAAAAAAAAAAAAAAAAAAAAGTCAATTTTGCCTATGTAGAAGTGGACAGAATGCATATAAGAGAACAAAGCACAGTCTTTTTCTCTGTAGTTTAGTGAGAAAGAATCTAGGAGGACAGAAACCTTATTACAGAGAAGTGAAGTATTTTATGAGTACCTGTTTCTGTTGTTTCCTTTTAAATATTTTTTTATTCTTTTCCTCAGAGATCTTTATCCTGAAATGAGTACCTGTTTTTAATGTCCTTTTTCTAGTCACAAATTTTTCCAGTCCAGTTTTTAAATATGCCCAACGTTCCTGGGAACAGAACCATCTCTATTACATGTGAATCCCACAGTATGCCTTGAAATAAAAGTTTTCTCTAGAGAGTGGGCAGGAGCTCAAGGACCTAGCTTATTGGTGGATAAAACTGGAGGGGGCCTCTTAGCACTGGGAATCAGTCCAGAAGATCTCTGCACAAGTTCCCACACCTGAGCAGAGCCCCTTCTCCTTTCTTCTTTTCTCATCATTTAACAAACATTAATGGAGCACTGTTTCCTAGGCACTGGGAACACGCCAGTGAAACTAAGTTATTTTATGGATCTTATAATCAGTAGCATGTGTGCTGATCTCAGGGTTTAGAACGGTGCCTGGTACATAGAAAATGCTCAATGGATTTTTTTGAATAAAGGAATACATTTATTTTTCAATCCCTAAGCTGCCTTTAATACTTACTTTCTATCATTTCCATTTCAAGGGGAAGTGAAGTGTTTTTGTGGAGAGGTCCTCACAATGTGATTTACCCAAGTTGGTATCATCTTAGATATATCTTTATTTTAGTATTATCATAGCCTGGTATGGTTAGAGATTTTCATATAGATGGATAATTATTGTGTTTATTCCTAAAAGTACATTGCCACTACAGTTTCTTTAAATTTAATGGCTTGAATTTTTACTTCCCTGCATTTCATAGTAGTGATATGAGGTATCTTAGAGATCATGCATCCCACTCCTCCACTTCATAGAGAAAATTGATTCATAGAGGCATCTAAGGATCAAGCAAATAGCAAGTTAGAACCAGGATTTAGGTCTTCTCCAAGGCCAATTCACCTTTTTACTATTATGTAAGAATTAAATATTATAACCTCGGTTTTCAAAGGAAATATGCTATAGATGTAAGAACACAGAACTTGCAGTCAAAGGTCGTGGATTTCTGAAACTTTTTGAAAAAGAACCCCTTAAATTGAATAACAGTGTCTTCATGAATAAAATGAATGTTATATTCTCCAGTTTTCTTACCATGTTTTCTGGCAAACAAGGAAGTGTATTCACATCTAAGAAAACAAGAGGTTTCTTAGGAGAAAAATCCCTCGCTGCCAGAATTTTGTCCATGAACAACGGAAATGTGAAAAACATAACAGATGAGACAGTCACAGTTAGTTCTGGGTACTAATTCTCACACCTCAAAATAACCTTTCTCATTTGTTAATATTAACCTTGAAATTTATTGCTTTTATTCATTAATCCATTTTATTATTCGGTACGGATTCATCAAGTGTCTATTAGGTATCAGGCACCGAGAGGCGAGGGAGATAGAGTTAAGAATACAGAACTGATTCTTTTTTTTTTTTTTCTTGAGACGGAGTCTCGCTCTGTCGCCCAGGCTGGAGGGCAGTGGCGCGGTCTCCGCTCACTGAAAACTCCGCCTCCCGGGTTCACACCGTTCTCCTGCCTCAGCCTCCCGAGTAGCTGGGACTACAGGCTCCCGCCACCACGCCTGGCTGATTTTTTTGTATTTTTAGTAGAGACGGGGTTTCACCGCGTCAGCCAGGATGGTCTTGATCTCCTGACCTCGTGATCCTCCCGTCTCGGCCTCCCAAAGTGCTGGGATTACAGGCGTGAGCCACCGTGCCTGGCAGAACTGATTCTTAATCTTCAAGAATTTACAGATTTGTAGAAGGTAGACATTGAACATACAATACAGTCAAATGTGAGGAATGTGAGACTAAGGGAGCCAGGTGTCCTAAGACTACACAGTGTACCCTGTAGTGGTTTCTAACCTAGTTACCTAGAGGTTTGGGAAAAGCCTCTCTAATGACGAGATGTTTGAGTTGACACTTGAAGGATGCATAGCTAAAGGGGAGAAAGCGTTCTATGTGAGAGAACTATATATGCCAAGACGCAGAAGTGTTCTCTGTTCGAAGATATGAGCGGGGCTCAGAGACGGAAAAGGAGAGGAGTATGAGAGAAGATGGGAGAGACCTGCAGGGACTAGATTGTGAAACTGAACGGGAGTTAATAGCCTTAAGGAGTTTTGTATCCAGGCTATAACTAATGAATGGGGAGTCACTGAAATTCTATGCATAGTAGTGGGAAGTGCTAAGTAGTCAAATGTGTTTTGGAAGAAGCACTGTTACCAGCTGAGGGAGAGGAGAGTAGGGAAAGTAGGCTGTAGTGTGACCTAGGATGGAAATTTTGCCCAAATGTAGGGGGAAAGATGTTTACTTTCTCCTTTGTCCAGGTCTTACTACAATCGTTTCGTCTGCACAGACTTGCTCAGAACATTACAGACTATGGAGAAATTATCTTGTTAAGGATATTTACACTCATTAAAAAAGTTTAGTAAATATTGTAGCACATAATGAAAGTTAATTTAAGAGTTGTAAAGACTTGCGCAATGTAGTCCCTAAATAAATGCTTCCCTCTTAAAATGGACTAGAAACAATTTGTTTTTGCCTAAGCCAACGTGTTGCTGGACATAATCCTTTACCTGCTTCCTCCTGAAACTAGACACTACACCTCTCAATTACATGGTACAAGTGGCACAGGGAAGAATTCAGAACACTGTAGTCAAAGTGTTTATGGAAGAAATTATAATCATGAGTCCACTCTCCTAAGACAGGAGTTCTAAAGGTGAGGATTTTGATATAAGTGAACTCAAGGAGTTTCTAAACCTTCAGAAAATCTATCTAAAAATTAGGTGCACGTGTATAAAAGTGCTTTTTTTTCTGAGAAGACGACTTCATACTTTCATCAGTTTCCTGAAGGCCCCTGTGATTGCCGTAAAGCACAACTGCTGTAAAGTTTACTACTAAGCCACAGGGCTCTTTTTTGTTAACACAGAAGTTTTCCAAATGGCTTTTCTCCAGAGCAGAATAAAAAGGATTCCATCCTTCCCAAGACCTAATGATGTTTATCTTTTGTGATACTGTTTCTGTTCTTCCTCTTTTTCTCCCACCCACCACCACTTTTAAAGATCTATCAAGGCCCAGGACCGTGATTCACACCTGTAATCTCAACACTTTTCAAGGCCGAGGCGGGAGAATTGCTTGAGATCAGGAGTTGGATACCAGCCTGGGGAACATAGGGAGACCCTGTTTCTACAGAAATTTAAAAAATTTCTGTAGCCGGCCGTGGAGGCTCACTCCTGTAGTCCTAGCTGCCTGACAGCCTAAAGCGGGAGGATCACTTGAGTCCACGTGTTCTAGTGAGGCTTCAGTGAGCAAGATTGTGCCACTGCACTCCAGCTTGGGTGACAGAGTGAGACTCTGTTTCAAACAAACAAAAGCAATAAGATCCATCAATTTGTTCCTCCATTCCTTCACTTACTATCTGGCTGTCTACAGCCTATGGGCTCTAAAGTCAGACTGCCTGATTTGGAATTCCAACTCCACCATCACCTAGGTAAAGTT